GGGGGGACAGGCTTCTCCACTGGAAGGGGGTGCTGGATTACGTTGCCAGCGATGGTGGGGTTTGAGGGAATTTTTAACTTTTTAACATTTACAAAAAAAAACCTGAACTTTATATGGTAGTATGGCAATCAAATTTTCAAAATATGGGTATTAGGGTCATTTTACATAAACAAAAGTCACAACATTGAGACTAACTTATACAATTTTTAAGATTAACTATGTCCTAAAAACATTAAGTGACCAAACTGGAAAATGAATATTCATAGAGTGATCCTATGATTGATACAAGATATAGACTATCTCTTTCTTACTAGATATAGCTTTTCCGCTGAGCAAAATGGCTAATATTTTTTGGCGGGATACTTAACGCGTTAGCTACACGTGGAAGTTTTTATTTAATGATATTAGCCCTATATAAAAACATAACGTGCTAGTAGCCAATCGATGTAACTCGTAAGCAAAGAATATCTAGAAGACGAGACAAATGCATTGCCTGAATGCCTTCTATGTAAAGCACAAGTAACTTACAGAAGTATACTGAGCAAAATTGGTCAGTTCTTGCATAGTGATTTCCGCCTCCTCTCTAAGTTGTTTGTTTGCTACCAGATCCAAGTCCAATCTGATCCATCAACAATCAAAATCTAGTACCAATATATTAACTTTAACACAAGATTCACAATCAGGTAGCATAAAGTATCGCCCTTACCTGGAGAAAAAACGATCCAAATTATGCCATTGTGGATCCTTGCACATATCTCCAAACCTGACAACCTCTCTGGAGAATACATCAAGTTCCTCCCTACAAAAGAAGAAAATGAATTATGAGATGGCTATAAAAATGCTTTGATTGGAACAATAAAAAAGGAATTGGCAACCTAAGAATGAGATCACCTCTTGTCAGCAGCTGCAATACTTAACAACTCCTTAGTATCTGTAGAAACTAAAAGTTGCACACCTTCTGAATGCAAAATTTCTTTCTTCAGGATCTGGATGCTTTCTTCAGACAGGGATTGCATCAAATTGGATCCCTTGACAATGGTATTAGCTACTTCAAATGCGAGAATAGATACTTTATTTCCCCTTGAAGCCATATTGGATACGAATCCACTGTTAGGATTCAAATTTGTCATGCTACTGCCAAGCGTGTCTAGAACTTCAAGACCCACATTACCAGCTTTTCCAAAAAATGTGCTCACATGAGGTACCTACAAACATGCAAGATTGGGCCCCATTTAGTACAATAATAAAACCAGTTTCCTAAAAAGTTATATAATGTAGAATGCCCCAAAAGAAACGACTACTACAAAAATTCTACTCTTAGTTAAACCAGAGTTGGAAGATGATGAATTAACAAAATTTGAGGCATATTCCCCTAAATAAACCTGTTGAAAGAGCATAATACCAAGGACTAAGTGGTGAAAGTAACGACACTAACATGACCTGCATTACTTTTCGTGAATTCTTTATTAAGCTAACAATCGCCTTATAGACTTAAACAACTACCCATAAATCCATAATGAAGAAAACATAGACATCTGTCCTATTTACGGATCAGAAGTTTTTGTTTATGTGCATCCAGCAAAAGGTTGTTATAGAGAACTGCACAAAAGTTCATGCATCTAGATGTTTTTGCAGCGACGGACTCAATTTCACCCGTCTCTGTTGCCTCCAACTCTAATAACCTAATTTCTCACATGAAAATACTTCACTAAATTAGCTTAAAGCTCATTTCTTCCTATTCACCTGTGAGAGTAATTTATTCCACTGGTAGAATAAACTTCAATTCCTAATACAATAGAGGTGTATGTAAGAACTATCCCTTCTCTACTTGAGGATGTTACGTGAGTACATAATGAGTAAATGTTCTTCATACCCACACCCTACAAGTCAACAACATAATCAGACTTTGTTCTGCAAAATGCTGGAACTGTAGAAAAGATATAGTTGATTAACAGGCTTAAAATGCTCAATATCTGGCTCAATGGTTATCACAACAACATAACTGTAGCTGATGGCCTCTATGGAGATTGCCCAAGTTTCAATAAGGCAGATTTGAATCAATCTGAAGATTCGGCAATGGTTCTTAGGCTTTTTAACATGCCTCTATCTCCATAGACATCAAAGAGCACACATAGGGACTACAGAAGAAAACCCATATATTTCCATCATCATCCTTCTAAATGGATACACTTTCAAGTCAGAGGGTTGGGTTCTAGTGAGAAGGGAAGTCATGGTGAGAAGCGTAAGGAGAGATCTCCACCCTTGGATCAACCCTAATTGAATGTCAACACCATGAGGTGCACCAAGATGTTCCGAATCAATTCCCTTCCAAAGCCCAATTCACAGGTGGGCCTGAGATAAAAAGTGACCATAACTCCCCTTCTAACACATGCTTCGCCTCAAGTCGGAATACCTCATTTATTTGATGATCATTTGGATCCAACTACATGTCTACGTAAACAAAGACATCCTAGAAGTAAAGGTTGCTTCCTCCAAGGTGCTACTGTTTCAGCTTTATTTCTCTTCATCAAATCTAGAAACCAAAATCTCTCATTCATCTTCAGTTCCCAATCCCCCAGATGCTTTTCCTCTGCAAACATCATCATATGCCTCCCCCCCCCCCCTTTCTTAAAATTTCCCTCTTCTTACCTACAAAAAGAAGAATTATATGCTGCTATTATGAGCTGCAAAAGACAGCAGTCCATTCTTGTCATTCAGAGTCCCTAACTCACAGCATATCAAGATTTCAAGAGTATCATACCAAAACTCCCATTCAGATATATTATTAAACATTGAGTTACTAAGAAGTTATGCAAATTCTGATCTCATAGTTGGTGTACGTGTGTGTGTGACAGAGAGAGGGAGAGAGAGATTGAACATATATACCTTGCCAGCCCCAACCCTAGCAGGGGTAGAGGGTTTCAATTCTCTTGAAATGGAAAAGAACAGTTCACCAGAATCATAAGACGCCATCCTCCTGTGATAAACATCATCATCATGTACATAAGAGGAAGATAAAGCTGAATCATCATGACCATCATCATAATCATCTTCCTTCATCTGGTGACCAAAACTCGTGACAGATTTCAACTTTCCTGAAAACCCAAAACCACGCTTATCACTGCCATACTCCGCCGCGGTGCTCCGCTTCAGCGTCCCGCCGGTACAAACCCCTCCCATTTTGTACGCTTCAACCACTTTTACCTTCACCAAACTCACCAATTCCGACTACTCTACTGTCTTGTTTTACCTGAAAAATTCGTGTGATTGTTTAACATCATAATGTAACGAACCAAAGCCAGACTTCACAAGAATGGACGAAGAGGAATGAGATGTAAGCTATGTGTCACCAATCACGAGAAAGAAAGAACAACCCAGATAAAGGGTTGAGGATATCGGAACGATGATTCGTGGGTATGATAATTATAACGCGCTAATTTAGGGGTTTTTTGCAAATTGGGGAAATTGGGTTGAATTGAGATTTGGATTTTGATTTTGATTGAGGAAAATGATTCTAAAAACAAAACAGCAATAAGAACACAAGATTAAAGAGTTTGACTCTTCTTTAGTTTACTCTCTCTCTCTAGAATTTTTCTTTGCCGTTCCTCTCTCTCTAGCTATCTTTCGTCTTTTTGGGGGGCCTGAATAAAAAGGGGTGGGGTGGNGGTGGGGTGGGAGGGAGTTATGAAAGTCGTCTTCCCCTTTTTGAGTTTTGACTAGCCTTTTCTCGGTGTTGAAATTTACCGGTTCAGATTTGTGTACAACTTTTGATACACATATTACAAGTATATTTAACATCGGTTGTTTGGAAATTTGTTGGATTCTCCTGGAAAAGGATTCCTTTCAATGCAACGAAAGAATGGGCAAATGTGTAACTTCACATTTAGGAAATGCCAAACGCAAAGACAAACAAAATTACTACGGTAAAATAAATTATTACATGTGTAATAATATCAGACATTCATAACAATTATAGTCAATGAATTTATTAAGATTAATATCTTATGATGATAATTTGTTGGGATTAGTTTGGATATAGTTTAAGACACCCTTCAAAAAAAAGTTCATTAATGCATTATGAATTATATACGAATGTGCCGACATTTTCTAAACTCTTTTATTTGTGCATAAAATTCAGATTTATTTGATGAATAAATTATATTGAATATGTTACTTCTTGTTATAGTAGAATAAATATTTTTATATTTTGTATGTTATATTTTCTTTCATTGCATTATGATAAAAGCCAATTTTGAAGTCAACTATCTAACAAGCCTTTTATGTCAATATGCCACATTAGACTTGAGGTATGATAATAATAAGAATCCATACATGACTATCAATGAACTTGTCATGGTTAAATAAAATATAATATTTAATTAAACAGTAAGTTTTTTTAATAAGATTTGTTGATGATTTTAATGTTATCAACAATTTGGTATAGTTGAGATTTACTAAGGGTTTGTTTGTTTACCTCTTAATAGTTCCGTTAAAAGACAACTCTGAATCGTTAAGAAATGAATCTTGTTTGGCAAAAGAAAAAAAAAATCTGCTTCTTAATGGTTCTAAAACCCTCTGAATGATTTTGTATCATGGATCTCCTTTAACCATTAAATACCCTAATTTCATTGTACACAATTGTCAAACAATTATATTTCATTTTGCATTATATCATGAGAATCTCTTAATCATTTTGCACCAACCCATTTAGCATTTGCCAAACAGCCTCTAAGAGTTGATTCTAAGATGATGAGGGAAATATAAGTGAGTAAGGGAGTGCAGAGTACACTTTCACAAATATTGTCCCTGGCCATAAAGCGGGGGCCAAGGGGGTCACGCCCCCTTGCGGGGTCCTAGGGGCAGCGCCCTTGGCGATTGTCCCGCTGATTAGGCAAGGTCGAAGGGCATAACCCCCTAGAAAAAAATCCGGATCTAAGTTCTAAAGACTTAGAATTTTACTAAGTCGTAAATTTGAAACAATGCATATGAAGTTTTGGACCTGCGTGTTCAAACCTGTATCTTCAGACATAGAAAACTGATTAATTTGGACTTCAACTATAGTTGAACGTTCAAAGTTGTTCAACTATGGTCTTTCAGCTTATCGATGGTTGGTCTTCAGTCATCATTGAACGGGCTATTGCTGAACATAGCCTATTGTTGAATGTCGGCCATCGATGAACGTGATTGGTCTTCAGTTGTCGCTGGATGTGCATGCTTCATAACTCAGATTCAGTTATAACTGCTCTTCAATCTTATCCATTAATAGTTACAACCGATAAGCCGCCGTAACTGTCGATCTCTGCTGTAAATACATAATTTTGTTATATGAGTACATATATGTGTGTGAGAGAGAGAGAAATTTGTGTCTTATTTCATGTATGATTTTTCTAGATTATTTTGATACTGGTTTCATAAAAACCTTAGACATTAAAGAAGTAAAATATAATATTTAAAAAGTGATTTACAAACATGATATAAAAAATATCCAAAGTTCTCTAACCACATAACCAAATTTCCCGGTAAAATTGATAAAATATTAGAACATTTTTGTTAAATTTATAATAAAATAAAACGACTTGCATTTAAGTTTTGGGTTTTTATCATTTTATACCAACCTTCTGTTTTGTGGACATCGATAATGTTTGCATGTATATGATATAGTTTATTAAGATGATTTGATAAGCAAAATCAAAACAAGTAATGGTATATACGAGAACATCATTATTTTATGAGAACACAATAATACTATTTTATTATAATCAATTACATGTGATACTTTTCATCACATATTATACACATGTGATACTAAATGAGAGACGGGAACGATCTTTAGCACGACTTAGGTTGTGGGTCAAGTCGCTCGTGCACCTCTAAGCCACCTCGCGTTAATTATCATATGTGATCAGGGTGTTATTGGTATGATACTATAATCTATCAAATGCGATAGTAATCAAAGATTGCACACTACCAATGACATCACGTGTATTATCACATGTGGTAAGGGTGTTTTTGTATTTTTGTAAAATAGAATGTGTTCGCATTTGAACATCCACCTCTATATATATATAGACGAAGGACCATATGAGAATATGAGTTAAGATAAGAAAATGTAATAAGAGATTTGGACCCCTAATCACTTTTAATCTCACTCTCACCCCATGAATTTCGCTTATTACGGGAATTGATCTGGTGCATCGAGTGTTGATCTTCAATTATGATTGATCCAAGGGTGTGGAAATCCCTTATTACCCTTCTCATTGGAATCCAACCATATATATATAAAGAGAAGGGAGAAAGATTCAAACGAGAACTCTAACTATTTAAGAACGAGAAAGATCGTTGATGTACAAAATCACATGTGATTTTACATTAACGTTAAAAAAATAGAAGCAGACGACTATTGAACCTGTATGATTTTGTACGTGAATATATATGTGAATCATGTATGATTTTGTACATTAACGACTTTTTTTCTTATTTTATTAAATAGTTAGCATTATCTTTTGAACATGCCCTTATATATATGGCACTTCAAGGTAGGATTTGTAGAAGGTAAGATGTACATAAACTTCTTCTCCTCTGCCTCAAGAAGCAGATGAAACGCAAAAAATGGTAAAAGATTTGAGCGTTTTACTCCAGCTTCCACGAGATACTTAAGCATCATTGAGAAGTGGTAGAAGTTACTTAGCCATGCTATGGCATTATGGAAGCGAGTATATAGTTACTTAGTCGTATCACGAAATTATGAAAGCTGAGTATAAAGTTACTTAGTCACGCTATGTAATTATGTAAGCGAGTGTTTAAGGCAAGATGTGGCATGAAAATCAGGGTGATGGATAGCCCAAATTGGTTTCATGTCATGTCTATCAATGAGAGAGGCAATACACCTCCTCAAACGCCTAATTGAAAAGTATAGCAGAGACTCACATATGGTGTTTATATATGTGGAAAAATGCATACGATACCGTATCGTGTGGCATGATTTTAGGAGTTTGAAGAAGAAGGGTGTCATGAATATATGTCAGAGATCCAGGATATATATGATTATCAACGACTCGTGTCAAGACTTCGGTGAATGAAACAAAGTATTTTTCGATGGAGGTAAAGCTACATCAAGGATTGACGTTAGACACATTCGTATTTTGTTGTGGCTTCACAGAAGTATAGTAATAATGTCAATTATATTGAGCAAAAATTGCGCCGACATAATTGCACAATTTATAATAATAATATAATTAAAATACTTATTTAACTTTCATTAAGAATGTATTTTTGTAAATATTTATGTTGAATATTTAGTTTCTTATTATTTAAATACTCATTAATTTTTATTATAGAGGACTTTCCCGATACGTAATATTATATTTTAAGGTTTTGACTATTTTAACCCGGAGAATTTGGTTATAAAAAAGTTGGCGAGCATGAAAGGAAACCTAAACATTTAAAGATTGGGGGTCAAATATGTCGGATGCGTTTGAATGGGTAAAACGGGGCCCACAGGGCCGTCTAGTGTTGCCATCTCCAATGTGAAATCACGACTTGGTCTTTTTAAACCAATTTCTTCTACTACGTTCAAATAACAATTAACCAACAAAAATATCCGTGTGGACCCACGTAAATGGGACTATTAAAACCATTATTACTTTTTATTTAAAAATTAAACAAGTATTATGTTTTTATTTAAGTTAAAAAGTTGATTATTCAAAATCCTAACGATTTTATACGAAACTCGCATGTAAAGACATTAATGTAAGGAAACACTTTTTAGTTCACTCAGCGTTTGAAGTTAACAAAGGTTGTATTGTATTTAGACAAATTTATCTTATCCATATATCAACTGAACTACACGTCAGATGCAATATTATGTTTATATATTTCTAAAATTAAAAAGATATATTACTTATATTTGGTCAAAGGTTTAGTTTGAGACTAAACTGGATTAGATCGGTTGAGTTTTCAGTTTCATTATTTTGCATTATATTCTGGTTTAATTTGATTTGATACACATATTTTTTTGGATCTAGTTTAGTTCGATACGATTCATTTGGACTCTGTAAATCGTCTTAATTTTTCATCATCACTTGTATTTTGTTCTTCAAATGATTTAGAAACTAACGAATTTGTTAAAAATATTTATCCATATTCAAGTGATTAACATTGGATAACTGATCTAATCCAATCCAATGGATGATTGGATCGGTTAGATTCCATCAATTGGATACCTTTATTGGATATCCGATGGAATTTGATCCATCAAGTGTGTTAATTCAATATAATTCCCCAACAATGATACAAATAAATTAACCACTTTTAATATGTGTTAAAACCAACATAAGAGAAGTTAAAAATTCAAAACCTTACATAAAACAAATTCCGATATAAACAATTTGAAAATAAATTAATTGGATGATAGTTGGATGATGGTTGGATGGACAACATGATGGTCATCGGATGATAAATTGGATGGGTATTTGGATGTTAATCAGTTCGGTTTTGGTCGGTTCTGAACTGTAATCCGAGAACCGACCGATCCAAATTGGATGTTGAAATTTTTAATCCTATATGATCCAATTATAATTGG